GGGGAATTTAGCCGTAATACGAAGCCAGCGAGGCGGAGAAGCTCGGCTTGATAAACTATAAGCCACAAATTTGCATGAAGCCGTCGCCTTCGACTACAAATTGCCATTAAATGCAGGCAACAAGGGGCGTTTGCTGGCTGCTGGGCGTGGCCGTTAACGAATCCACCTCCAGTACAGCTCAGCCCAGCCAACACCCACCTCACCTGGCTTGGCTGTCCCAACAATAACTGACACCAGTTGCGCTCCACTCTTTCCACTTTCCACTTTGTTGCAACAATTTGCGCGCCCGAGGCGCCGGCTGAGGATGTGGAATGTTGGGCGATGTTGCACTTGGATTAAAACCATATCACTTTCACAAAGCCAACCAAATATTAAAAACATTTTTTATCAACTCAAATTGAAGGGATTTAAAAAATATGAAAGGTTTCAACAAGGATATTCGAAAAAATCGTTTTTGGAACCAGCAAAAAAATATGATGAAAAATATTATTATATTGCAGTAAAAATGCAACAACTTACAAATTTAATAACTCAGAAATTAAATGGGCATCTCTTAAAACATATAAAGCTACTCTTTTTCATATACATTTTCCATTATGCGTTATCAACATTGATATTTGAGTTAATATCAAAGTCTTTTTTCTTAGTACGTTGTTTTTAAATACTATGGATAATGAGACTGACCAATTTATTTTTCTCTGTGCAGACTGCTGCTTCATTGCATTTAATTCATTTTTATTGCAAAAGCTTACAGACAGATAGAGGGAAAGGATATAGGTGTGGAGCCGGCGCAGGCAGGACGAAGTAGTAGTAAAGGCCACTTGGGTGTGCTCTTTAAATTATATTGGGCAGAATTTTATGCAGTTGGAGATGCTAAGCAAGGCGATCCAAAGGATGCGGCTACCCGCTCCTCGTCCTTCAGGAACCGAATCCCTCTGGCGCTGCATGCCATACAAAAGTTTTTACAAAGTAGCTGCGGCAGCTGCTGCAAGTTTGAACAGCATCCATGATGGCAAAGGAGTGGCGTTGGCTGGCTTGCTGATGGGAAAGGGGCAGGACAGACAGGCATTTTGATGAAGCTGCTTTATATATTGGGTGCGGGCTTTCGCTGGGTGGCCTTGCCCCTTGCTCCTTGTTCCTGGCAGGATCTACTGGAGCAGCAGCATAATTTAAATAGCATGTAAATTAGACGGAAGTCTAAAATGAGTGCATAATGTCTGCTAAAAGTGTTCTAAGTAATTGTAATTTAGGTAAAAGTTCCAGCGAAAGCGCGCTTAGGGACTGCCAGGGCTGATAAATTCTAGACTGGTCCAGTTTGGCGGGATTAAAATGTCCAATTAATAGTATTACTAATGTTAATTCAAGTTATAATAAAGAAGATCAAGATAATATGTAAAAGTTTCTGTTTTACTACGAACAGTAGTTCTATTTGAAATGGATGCCACTATTCTTTAGTTTAGTATGTTCCTAAAAAGAAAAACTTTACTAAATAAGTCTTGAGTCTCAGAAACACTCTTTGATTAAAGGAACAATGCAACGAAAAGGAATTCGCACTTTAAGACCTTTCGTTGTTCCTTGAGTTTCCTTAAACAACTCTTCTCGCATCAGCTTTTCTTAGCCCTCTTTTCGCCACTTTTTCCAATTGAAGGGAATAACCTAAACGAAAAATTCGGGGATTGCGAAAGCAAAACCGAAACAGCATGACCCAGCTAAGACTTGACTCAAAGTCTACGAGGATTTTCTGAGGTCTTAACACCTTTCACTTCTGCATTTGCTTTTGCCGCTTTCCATTCGGCCTATTTTGGCCCAAGAGGAAATGGCGAAAGAACAGTAGCACAGTTTTCTATTGGAAGTTGTACTTCCTTTGACCTTTTCAATTGTTGGGTGGTCTTTAATTTGTGGCTTCAAAGAGTTCTGTTTTTGGTAGAGGTTTTAGGTTAGGTAAGGCATTAGTTTTTATAGAATTCCTATTAAACACTAAAGTACAGTTTAATAAAATGGATTGCCCAGGAATAATAATTTTGGGATTATCATGCAAATTAATGAGCAACTGAATTACTTGGAACTTTGGCAAAACATTGTGAATTTAACTTTTCGCAGTCTCATATGCAGTTAAGCATTATAGAAGTTTTCCGGAATGCATTTTCAGTGCTGGCAAATTAATTAGCTAGGAGTAACCATTTCCAGCCTCTCATCAAATGTCTAAACTAGTTTTACCTTTGGCATGACAGCCACTCGTGAAACTGCAGTGCAAACAGACTTTCGGATCAACTTTGTTAACTTTAACATTAAAATACTTAACCCCATTCCGGGGCACCATCATCGACAACAAACCCACTTGAGAAGCACCGTAATCTATCAATAATATTATTACTTGAAGCGAGTTGGTTAGTTAGTTAGGTTCTCTTAGCCCCACTCAGAAGTTTTAACCAAACTCAACCACCTCCGATCCTCTCCTCTTGGATGGCCACTCAACGGGACCGGGTAATTCCCTAGGTAAATTTATAATTACTAAAAGCGACTTGAACTAGTTATGCCAGCAGTTGGAGTCTCCTTCTGGGACTGGGCTGGCCACTAGGGTTCAGGGGAGTTTTTCGGGCTGCGAAAGTTGTATCAAGTTGTTGTCTGGCGGCGGGTGACCAAGGCGCCAGGCAATCTAATTTCCATTTACCCATTTGCCACCCAAAATGCCCCTACTTTGTTGGCTTTTTCATTAGGGTTTTCATTCGGAAGCAGCCGCACCTGGAAGCTGGCTAAAAAGTTAATTCTAGGCGAAATTAAGTGTCATTTTTATTCGATTTTGTTTTTAGGAGATCGTTTTTTCGCAGGGGAATATGAAAAAGTGCACTTGGTAGTTAAGCAGAGTTTTTATTCCCGCAAAGTCATTTGGTTTTTATTGATTTTAATGGAAATGCAATTAAAAATTTAGCAGAGTTCCAGTCGTAAGTGCATTAACATTAACTGAAAAATGATTTATGCCGTGTTTGACATTTTAATTATGCTCGCCGATGGCGCGACAAACAAACAAACAATTCATGTACTATAGATATATATCCCCATATGACGGCGTTTGACTGACTTTCATTAAGTCTTTTTTTAATGCGTTAAAATTTCCGGCCATTTGTTTTAATTTTTGTTGGTTCACGTTCAATTTTTAATGTTCAATTAATTGCATTAAATTATGTGCAAAATTTGCACTTAAAACGCAATAAGTTTCCGCCAGTAGACAAAATGAGCCCAGCTGATCCTAGCCAAAGTGGATGAAGAGCAAGTGGGGGTTTACATTTGGTCGATTGAATAATTTACATAATCGATGAAGGGCAAACAATAATCACTAAAATAGAATAAAATCCCAAACAAGTCCGTTTTAAATCAATATTTTGTTTACTTTTCAATCGAAATGACCTTAAACTAAAGCCACAAACTTTGAATTTCTGTATATTCACTTGCGGCTTTTCGCTCCACAACCAATCACTTTAATTAAGGTTCATCTTTCTGGTCCTTCATCTCATTTCCCTGGCCAGCACATCAAAAACCAATTAATTTTTATACGTTGCAATGGCTGTTTTATTCAGTGTTCACTATGTTTTTTTTCTTTGCTGTGTGGCGGACAACAATTTGCCAGTAGCGTCCTGGACTGGACATACGCATACAGAAGCAATTAGTCAGAAAATTTAACACAGTTCATTGGGCAAATTTGAACACGGCTGAAGCTAATGACATAATTTCGCCATTGACTGGATTAGATAATGCCCAGGACACTCTCGCACACACTTATCCTCCCCTCACCCATGGCCAGTTAATTGTTGTAGGTCCTGCCCAGGACACATTACAATCTGTTATAAGCCCGAAGCCAAAGATTAATGATCAGGAATGCCTAATGAAGTTATTCCGGACAGTTCAGCTGGGGAATTCGATTCCCTTGGCTCCATGAAGACAATGTAAGTGTGATGAAGTGTTGAATCCTTGGGAATCCAAAGCTGCCTTCGGTTTTTCTTTATGATGCGTTTAAATTGTTGCTCTTTGCATATTTACCTTGTTATTTTATTACGTGACGGAAATGAACAGAAATATAAAATACAATAAAATAAAAAGTGAAGCGCCGGCGAGAGCAGCGTCCACATAAACAGCGCGAAAACATTGTCACAGCATGAAGTCGAATGGTTTTTACATGCAAAAATATTTCATTTCCTCCAGCAGCGAAATGTTTAATAATAAAAAAAAGCGGGCAAAAGCAGGCGAAATGAGCGACAAAGTAAATTTCGTAGTGCGAGGGGAAAAAGGGAGTCGTCGCAAATAAAAAACTGCAATAAAAATCTGTTTAACATGAAGTGCGGCAAACGCACAAAAGTCTGTCACAGCGAAGGGAGATCCTCGGAAATCATCTTGTTCTGTCTCTGCTCGCCTTTTGCCCATACACTTTACAACTTATGAGTGCTAATAAAATTCACTCGACATTTATATATATATATATATATATATATCCCACAACTTGTTCACAAAAAAAGAAAAAAAACCGAGAGGCGAGTCCTTCAAGGTGTGCGCTGTGATAAAGAATTCCCCTCAAGGAGAGTCCTTTTCGGATGGGGACTAAGTGGAGCAGAGATCCCAATGGACAGAATAAAAGGCAAGGATTTCATTTTAAATTTTACAATTTATTGTGTCAGCACTGCGGAGGCAAAGAGTGGTTGCCTTGTGCAATTTCTGTGATAATTTCGCAAAGAATGAAACGGACGCCGAATAGAGAAAGGAGACCTTGATAAAAATCTCCGATGCATAAGCTGATGGCACATTATTAGGTGTGCTTCTGCGATAAAGATGTTCAGAGAATTGGCATTGTGTGCATTTTATTCTTATATAGAAACTTCTCTTTACTTATTAGATTAATATTAATTCACTCTTTGATACTTAGATTTTACAATTATTAAGAAACTTTTCTTTCGACCGAACAAAGTTCACCTAGAGAAGTTTCTTGAATATTAACAAAAACTCCGGGAATCATGAAAAGGAAATACAAAGTTCTGCTGTTATTGCTTTATCTGCTCGGCAGTTTAAGATCGGGTCAGGCGATTTGGTTTCCCTGGTACTTTAAGCAATACGGACTAGCTCCTCATTCGACTCGGCATGGTAATAAAAATTTAACATGTCCACCTGGTTACGAACCCAAGTCCTCGGCGGCCAAATTGACTAGAGGATTATCTAGCTGTGAAAAAGTTTTGCCATCGAGTTCGGAAGAAAATGCAAAAGTGAAAGGAAGGCTTTGCGATGATAATCCCGTGCTAATGCAACTGGCACGCCTTTATGTGGTGAGTCCCGAGAGGATTGTCCTGCTTCTGGCACAGCCTTCTCTTGGCGATTCCTGTGCTGAGATCACCGATGTACTGTCTAAAATCAGGAAGTCAATGCAAAACTGTGTACTTGACGCCAGACAATATTTATGGCAAATTAACAGATGGATTGAGCTATTTTGAATCGGAAGTTTGTAACGGAGGCGACGGTCGCAACAAGAAGCGATGTACAGGACTCCAGGAGTCTCACAACTGCTTGCGTGAACTCCGGACGGATATGATCGAATGTGAGGCTCCGCCGGATTGGTACGAGAAAAGGAATGCCACCAAGGTATGCCGCATTTTCAACGATGTCCTGGACTGCTATTACACAAGAGCGGCCTTGCTGTGCGGAATTGAAGTCGCCAAGCAGCTGAGATCCTTTGCCGGGGACAGCATGGGCAGAGCCATGATTCACAAATGCGCGGTGAATAAAAGATTACCCCGGGTAGATAATGCCATGCCTATCGACACTTTTAGCAGGGGTGGATTGAAGTCCTCCTTGAATTTGTTCAGTATTACCCTTTGGCTTGGATGCCTAAGATTTGTGTTATTGAAAACAGTTTTGTTTATTTGAAAACAATTTTCTTATCTCAAGACAAGCTATTATATATTTTATAAATTATAAAAGATTTTCTGAACATACTTCTTTTTCTACAATACTATTATAACATTGAATTGCGGTCTCACTTATGTAGATCACACTATTCCGATTAAAAATAAACAAATTTATTGCCATTTAAAACTGTCATCTGTCTCAACGACGTATCCTCAATAAAGTTCAAAACGTCCGAGAAATAAACTAAACACTCGTATGTATTGGCCATTATTTATCTTCCGATGGGCCCGAAATGCCAACTTAAGTGTTTAGCTATTTTCAACTAAATTTCAATAAACACCCGAGGGACTTAAGCTGTCGACAAAGTAAGCCAATTTACTCACACACACACACACACCCGCATATTTTAGAGGTGTGCGTGGGTGTATCTGTGTGAGTATCTGTGTCTGTGTGAGAGGTGACCACAAACATACAAACACTGCTCACGGGAAACCGATGTCGACATTCGCCTCTTGCTTAGAGCGAAACTCATCAATTATGTTGACGCGGCTGGAAAATAGCTGGCTGTTTTGGGATGTGGGCGGTTTTCGGTGGGGGTGCCATGGCTGCGGGTGGTGTGGATGCGGTGGCTGGCCTAGGTGGCCTTTGTTAATGACACCTTGCCCAATCGCTTAAGCTGGGTAAAAAGAGCGAGATCGGAAAGCCTGTGGGGATGGCTTTTACATTTGCATCACACCCGAGGAGCGTGGCCGCAGGAAAACTTGGCTGCAAAATGCACAGCAGACTCCTATTGAAGAGAGAAGATGTGGTGACGCCACAGCTTAATCGAAGTCAACCGAAATCTTATAAGATTGGGTTGAAGTTGGATAACAAAATTGCTTAAACTACATAGACTAGAAATGAAAATTTATTCAATTTTTAAAATTTGTATGTGTATTATTTTTTTAATATTTCACCTTGATTTTATAATAGTAAACCGATAAATCAAATAGTCGTCTAACTGTTACCACACTTGGAAGTGCATCCACAAATTGCGACCAATAAAACGAAGGAGACGAAAAGTTATGACTGCTAATAGTAAAATTTAATGCCTCAATTAAGAACAGCGGAGGGTCCTGGCGCCCACACACTCACATACACAATCTCGTTATAAGAACGCACTTCATGTGGCAAAAAAAGGCGTGGCATCCATCCAGAACCAACCAGGTTGTAGTACGGCGCCCGTTTTGTGTCGCCATGGCTGACGTTGTCTACTCCATTAAAATGAAGTTGTGTCCTTTGTGCTGGCTTTTTTTGTTCTTGGCGCCGACGAGACAGCGAAAACAAAAAGCAGATTGTTCCCAAACAAAACACGGTGCCACATTTCAATGGGGTTTTTACCTGTAAATGCGAGCAACCAACCAAAGAGGCAACACAACAGTCCGTCTGCCCGACAATCGCCACGCAACCTTCCTACCAACGGATAAAGTATCTTTTCACCCCGTCAGTCTTACTCGGTAGATTGTTTTACTCTATCAGAAGCTAAGTTCATTGAGTGGTTTTAGGAAATGTTGACATATTGACATATATATTATGATTAATTGAAAAGCATAACAGAATGCTTTATGATTATATTATAATATAGAATATTTAACATTGGCTAAAAGAGTATTTCGATATCGGTGATCAAAACGTAAACAAGAATTCACTTTTATTCCATCTTGTTTTTCTTTGGATAAATAAAAATAAGTGCTGTGGCAAAGAGCTTTGCCTGCTGCCTGCAATTGACAATAAACATGTGAGTTGAATGGTAAGGCAAGGCGGACAGGACTCTAAAATGTTGGTCATTCCCTCAGATGAATGTCCTGTGTGGCCATATGTGGGACTCCGTTGATGATTCCAGCCACCGCCTGCATTATTTTCCCCCGGCCAACTGAATAACAATTGAGATTCTAGTGGTAGAGTGAAAAATGTTTTCGTTTTTTTTTATTTCGATAAAAAATATATTACATTTTTTTCAGACCAAAAATATTATATTATATTCGTCATTACATCATTAAATGAGAGTGTCTACACTTCCTGGAAATGCTTGCGAATGCATTTATTTATTTATACGTTAACATTGCCGAATTAACGAAAATGTTCAAGTATTTAAAAATATATTTAAATGGCAGAGTTTCAGTTATCGAAATGAACGTAACTTTGTCAGTTTTCATTGCAAACAGCAATTCCTCTTGGCCAAAAAATATTTTGATGACACAACTGTTATGCTCTACTTCATCAATGTTTCAGCAAATATTTTGCTGATATAATTCATTTCAATTCCATGCCAATAGAGCTCAATCACGCCCTCGGCCCCACCACACACACTCGTACCTTATAATTTCATCAACATCAATTCAGCCGCATACATAAGACCCGGGGCGACCCGATCCGGCCAACCAAACTACATTTGTTTGTGCCATTCCGACCATTCAAATGCCCTGGCACGTATTGAAAGCCACAATGGAAAAAAGGCAGACAGAACAAATTCCCCAAAAAAGTGCAAAAGGAGCAGGGAAGTGAGCATATTTAATAAGTTGACAAAACATATTTCACACGCACAAATGCGCCAGCTTTCGGTTGGCTTCCATTTTGTTTGCCCTCGACTTACGGCCAACTGCCTACATATGTCAAGCATCATTATTAACAGATTTTCGGGTGCGACACGCACGAAGCCCAAAAATTCTCTGAGCTCTCCATATATCCTGGGGCTAGCTGGTAGGCAAAGGTGAGGGTTTGAGGCCGCACAGCGTGTGAAAATGTTATTGACATCTATTTCAATATTTATAAACGCACGCTGAAAGTATTGCCATATGCAGCACATACAGATTGAAGGATTTCATTTTCATTAAATATTCTGAAGTTGAAATGAAACTTAATAGAAAATACAATAGAATCCACCCGCAAATCGGAAAAATCCTTAAACTACCAAAATGACTCTGTCGAAACGCATCAAAATCCATTTATCCCAACTTCGGATTTTGTGTTTTGAGGTTTTTGAGAGAAAATAAAAGCAGGTTTGTGGAACTCTAAAAAATGTTAAGAAAACCTTAAGAAAGCTTAACAAGCTTAAGCTTAAAATAGAAACATTCCACAATTACATGTTTTTGAGTGATTTTCTCATTGGAACTTTCATAAACCCAACAGAGAAGCCAACAACTCCCATGAAATATGCATCATTTAGCATTTACTAGGGTGACTTTCAGATGAAGCTCGTCGTGCAAGTGACAGGGGAATTGGCGGTGAAGCCAGCCAGCCCTGTACCACCATTAGCTTCTGTTGCGGACTCCTTCCCTGACTGGCCGCAATATGAATGCCATGGCATTGGACCTGACACTAATACGCAAAGCTTGGCTGGGCAACTAATAAGCGTGTGCCGAGGTGTGTCCATTTTCCAACTTCCAGTTGGCCAAAAGGACAGCGCACGGCACTGGTTGTCAGGGCCAAGCTGTAGATGTGGCACCCATGGGAATCCTAAGAGTAAGCAATACGAAGGGTCTGGAAATGCAACAAGCAAATTAAACCCATATCAAACTGGAAGCATTGAACTGTTATAAGCCAGGCTAGACGATTTGGCTCCGAGTGCCCAAACCAGCTAACTAAAGACGTGCCCAGGTCCAGAAGGCGTTCAAAAGACTTAAGTACAGTGGATAAAATATAAAGGTTATGGAGTGGAGAAAATGAACCTAGAAAATTCCCTTTTAAAGCCTAAAAGATGGTAATCAGATAGCAGTATTTTTTCTAATCTAATCAATTTTATTTTGTTTTCGGTAATTAATTTCTTATTACAAACGTTTTGCAATTTCCACAGTGCACTTTCGTCTGACCTTTTTAGGAATTTAAATCAGCGCAATACTAAAGACACGTCCCAGACATGCAAAAATGGAGAAAAAGCAAAGAATAAATCGAAAAGAAAGGAAAATACTCGAACGGCAACCATATCTTTGGCATATTTATGCGCCATGACCGAAGGATTGTGGCAGAGTCCAAGGATGCGGCAGAGTTCAATGCATTGATTATATTGCCATTACGGATACGACGCGTTGCCCATAGCACAGAACTACCGATTCCATATTACATTAATACCTGCTTCAGCGAATCGGGATGACGAAATTCGGTAATTTATTGATTGACCCCTCGAAACAAAACTTAAGCTAATGGGGGCACCCGACAGACAACCTTAAAAATTGGATGGGCAAAATATTCACATGGCCCCCGCGATTGTTAAATTTATAATCAAATCGAAAATCACAAGGGAAACCACAGAGCCCAGAAGAAAGTCAATAAAAGTCCGAACTAAACTTGTGTCATTTTGTGCTTATTATTGGGCATTCAAATTGCCTCAAGCATGAATTATGTGCGCCCAGCGAATCAAATTTGGCGCAAATTCACGCAATGTTTTGTGTTTCATTGAAAGTCGTCGAATTGAATGCAAATAAGCGTGAAGATTCGCTTAGTGACTTTGACCCTAAGTGCTCGACATTGTTTACTGATAAGTTAATTGAACTTTTGTTTAGTTCTTCAAGGAACGAAAACTCAAAGTTGAATAGTTGAATAAAGTTTTATTTCAGCTTCTAAATAATGCATTTAGCCGAGGTTTCTGTTCTGAAAGGAACATTAAGTAAGCAAGGTAACTTGAGCATTCTTAAAGCAAAATTTCACGTAAAAAACAAATTCCAAGAATGAAGTTATTCACGGTTAGTTGAGCCATTGGCGGAAGTAAATTGTATAAAGCTAAGCCAAATTCGTTACGCTACTGGGGTTTCTTACATAGCGCCCTTGAGTGTATCAGTAAATCTTCCTTTTTATATGTATTTATTATGGGAGTAAAACATTTCTTAAATTCAAACGTATATATTTAAGCATATTTCTTTTGAAAATATTATATAGTATATCTGATTTCTTGCAACACAGTTTTCTCTTCAAACATTATTTTATTGTATATACATACAAAGCACTTCTTCCAATCCGTCTTTGACCAGATAGTATCTGGAACAAAAAATAATCAATTATTGAAATATCTTAACCATCTTCCGCTCATTA